ACCCCAAACTCGCTCATCCATGTTTATGGACCTTGCTTTGTGCACTGGTGCGCAGTCATGTTGGAACAGGAAGGGGCCATCCCCAAACTCTTCCCACAAAGTTGGGAGCATGAAACTGTCCAAAATGTCTTGGTATGCTGACGCCTTAAGAGTTCCCTTCACTGGAACTAGGGGGCCAAGCCCAACCTCTGAAAAAGAACCCCACACCATAATCCCCCTCCACTAAACTTTATACTTGGCACAATGCAGTCAGGCAAGTATTGTTCTCCTGGCAACCGCCAAACCCAGACACGTCCATCGGATTGCCAGACAGAGAAGCGTGATTGGTCACTCCAGAGAACACATCTTCACTGCTCTAGAGTACAGTGGTGGCATGCTTTAGACCACTGCATCCGACGCTTCGGCAAGCGCTGACCCCGCTCTGTCATTTTATGTGGCCTACCACTTGGTGGCTGAGTTGCTGTTGTTCCCAGTTGCTTCCACTTTGTTATAATCCCACTAACAGTTGAGCGTGGAATATTTAGTAGCCAGGAAATGTCACGGATGGACTTATTGCACAGGTGACAACCTATCACGGGACCACGCTTGAATTCACTGAGCTCCTGAGAGCGACCCATTCTTTCACCAATGTTTGTAGAAGCAGTCTGCATACCTAGGTGATGATTTTATACACATGTGGCCATAGAGGTGATTGGAACACCTGAATCCAACGATTTGGGAGGGCTGGCCCAATACTTTTGGCAATATAGTGTATTTCTCAGTAGCCACAAAGGATATAAATCCTTTTTTAATGCCTTTTCGTGTCGAGAGCAGTGTTGTCGGAGGGACCCAGCAAGCTCCACCCACCACAGGCTTCCTGCAGAAAACTACAGGAAGGGGCAGAGACAGACCAGTCACCCAGCACAAGGAGAGATCAGCGTTGAGCGGTCTTTATTATAGGAAGCCAAAGTCTCACTGAATTACTGTACAGATCTGGAGCAAATACACAAAGCACACCAAGATTCAAGGAAGAATACACCCTCACTCACCTCTATAGCTGGTTTTAATGTGAAGCAAATAGTTCTCAAAATAATTCTGAAAGATCACAACAAACAGTGTGGTTTCAGTCACTTTATAACAGCTTAAAAACCCCAGATACGTATGTGCATTTGAGGGTTTGCAAACTTCCAAAATCTGCTCTCACAATAAAACACAACGTTTATTCTGCGAATTAGTGTGCATTGTTACGTGTATGTTATGGTAAGAAGACAATAACTAATTACGGCCACTGGCTTTTAATTTCTCAGTGACAGTATGGTCACCTGCTGACTTGGCACCAACCACAGGCAGCTTAACTCTTCAATGAGACACAGAAGTAGATTCCAATCCTATCTGCAAAGTACTAAACACTGAGGAAACAAGGAAGAAATGGGGATGGGCTAGCTAGGACTGAACTAACTGGCAGTAAACAGGAGGGGAGGGCAGTAGTGGCCCAAAACTGCCACTAGGTGACAGCATGCTACAGAACGATAAAAACCTGATGCAGTTCAATTCAACAGAAAAAATACATGAAAGTGGGGCAGAATAGTGCGTATTGCAGAGATGTACGAAATATTTGGGGTTCTTTTGCTCAAATTTACACTGTAAGACTAAAAACTAAAATAAAGTCAAGGTACTTACACTAGTTGAATTTGAAAACACATTTATTTACATTAACCACTTACCGTCCGCTCGCCTGCATTGTACTGCGGACAGGTGGCAGCTACAGGCAAATCGCTCTGCTCTTCCGGGTTCAGAGAGCGCATGCACACGCCCCTTCTTCCCACTCCATTTGCTGCAGGAGATGTTTGTCAGCAGGTCCCGGCCAATGATTTGTGGCCTGGACTCTGCTGATCTCCTGCAACGAATGGAGAAGCAAAGCTGTGCCTGTATTTGAAAATACAGGCACAGGATCTATCCGAATTTTCTCTCCCTGGAACCTTTTTGTTGCAGGGAGAGAAGAAAGACACACCACGAGTAAAAACAGTACATTTGCACCCACACATTAGTTAGGCACATTTTAACCCCTTGATTTCTATTTTTTTAAACCTTTGATCACCCCGTCACTCTGCAAGTGCCATTAGTAGACTGTCAGTGTATAGTATTTTTCACTCATCACTGTATTACTTCCACTAGGGACGTCAAATAGTGTCAGGGTCATTTAGTGATAGATTACATGCACATTAGTGCATCATACTATCATGCTAAAGGTCGCTGATCACTGTCATTACTAGTATAGTGTTTGTATGAATCAATATATTGATCACGAACAGATCTATACTAGTGTCCTCTTAGTATTAGTGTCCCCAAAAACGCAGTGTTAGCAGGATCAGCCCCGTTCGCTGCTAACACTTGCATTTAGCCCCTCAGGCCCTCCCCCCAACATGTTTAGTGTTAGTAGATAGTAGACTGTCACTTGATACATTGCTCACAAAACCGCCGCATCAGCAAAATCAAGCCTGATCTCTGCTAGCACTAGCAGGTGCATTTTATTGGTAGCGGATCAAAAAGTCCCTGACAGCCAGGTGCTCTTTTTCCCATGAGTCGTACTAGGTACTTGTAAATTTAGAACGAAAAATGTCTCAAAAGAGGTACACTAGTGAAGAGGCCTACAGTATTCTGAGCATGTCAGATGAGAGCGAAGGGGAAGCCTCTCTGACAGAATCCACCTCAGAATAGAAGCCTGTAGAAAGCAGCGACACCATGACAAGTAGCTTGGATGATGGAGAAGACATCCCTGTTAAGATCAGGCGTACCCGATCCCATGTAGCTGAAGTGCAAGGAACACATGACTTGTCTCATATGCAGTAGGGAACAAATGTGTATACGCCCCAGCAAAACATCTGCGTGGATGAGTCCCTCTTTCATTTTACTGGTCGCCTTGCATTCAAACAAAACCTCCCCAGCAAGTGTGCCATATATGGGGTCAAAACGCTTGAGCTCTATGAGAGGGCCACAGGCTTTACATGTAATTTTAGGGTTTATGAGGGAAGAGACAGTGAAGTAGAGCCCCCCCGACTGCCCATGCTACATGAGGAGCAGTGGCAAGATAGTATGGTACTTGTTCCGCAAGGGGTACCACTTATATGTGGACAACTTCTATACAAGAGTGCCACTATTTAGACATTTATACAATCTTGGTATTGGCTCATATGGCACCGTGCGACCTAATCGTCAGGGCATCACCTAATGGCTTGTAAACACCTAGAAAGGGGGCGAAAGCCTGCTTGAGAAACAATGAATTGTTTGCAGTGAAGTGGAAGGACAAACTAGATGTTTTCGTCCTGTCTTCCATTTATGCAGATGCGACTATACAAATTAGCATTGCATTTGGTGTTGTTGAGAAACCCTCTGTCTCCATGACTATAACCTTAACATGGGAGGGGTGGACTTCAACAATCCAATGATGAATCTGTACCTAGTTTCCAGCAAAGGTCGACACTGGTACAAAAGGGTGTCTTTTAATTTATTTCAATTGGCTATATATACAGTGAAGGAAATAGGTATTTGATCCCCGGCCGATTTTGAATGTTTGCCCACTCACAAAGAAATGATCGGTCTAAAAATCGAATGTTCGGTGTATTGTAACACTGAGAGACAGAATAGCAACGAAACATTCAAAAGAAATGCAGGTCTAGCAAATTATGCACTGATTTGCATGTTCATGAGGGAAATAAGTATTTGATCCCCTTCACAAAACATGACTTAGTACTTGGTGGCAAATCCCTTGTTGGCAATCACAGAGGTCAGACGTTTCCTGTAGTCCGCCACCAGGTTTGCACACATCTCAGGAGGGATTTTGGCCCACTCCTCTTCGCAGATCCTCTCCAAGTCATTAAGGTTTGGTGGCTGATGTTTGGCAACTCGAACTTTCAGCTCCCTCCACAGATTTTCAATCGGATTAAGGTCTGGAGCCTGGCTAGGCCACTCCAGGACCTTAATGTGCTTCTTCTTGAGCCACTCCTTTGTTGCCTTGGCCGTGTGTTTTGGGTCATTGTCATGCTGGAACACCCATCCACAATGCCCTGGCTGAGGGAAGAAGGTTCTCACCCAAGATTTGATGGTACCTTGCCCCGTCCATCGTCCCTTTGATGCCATGCAGTCGTCCTGTCCCCTTAGCAGACCCCACCAAAGCAGAATGTTTCCACCACCATGTTTGACAGTTGGGATGGTGTTCTTGGGGTCATAGAAAGCATTCCTCCTCCTCCAAACATGGTGTGTTGAGTTGATGCCAAAGAGCTCGATTTTAGTCTCATCAATAAATGCATTCTAACAAATTATGCACTGTTTTTATAATAGAAACAAAGAAAAACTTTTTTTTCAAATTTTTTTTTGTTTATAGCAAATAAAATAAAAGACCCAGCGGCGAGTAAATACCACCAAAAAAAGCTCTATTTTTGTGAAAAATAATGATAAAAAGTACAATGTTGCATGATCGCACAATTATCAAAGTGCGACAGCGCTGAAAGCTGAAAATTGGCCTGGACAGGAAGGGGGTATAAGTGCCCGGTAGGCAAATGTCCAGTAAAAAAAAAATAAAAAGTCATAAATTAAGCCAAAAATGTATTCTGCTCCATGTCTTTGATAAATAAAAAATCCCAATACGTGTAAATTAATTGGTTTACATGAAAGTTATAGCATTTACAAATGGCGGAATAGATACTGTTTTTTTCACAAGCAACGGCGGCGATCAGTGACTTATAGCGGGACTGTGGCGGGCATTCTGACACTGGGGGGGACTGACCTGGTGTCGCTGACAATATTGAGAAACGCTGTCTGGTAAGAATGCTGCATTGCAAGAAAAAGTACATAATATTTGGTGTACAATGCACGTTTCCCATCAACTGTAAGCCTTATTTCAATTTTCAGCTGCTTCAGCAAAGAGCAATAAATACAGTATGTAATATAAAACTGAGTTTGCAGGAGAATAAATAGGCTAAACCTTTCCTTCCAATAATGTTTTTTTTTGTCCTTTTAAACAGGTAGGTGAGGATATTCCAGAGGGTCCCCTTCCTGACCACTTCCACGGAGTAAAAGTAAGTGGATGTTATAAGACACAAAGCTGATTGTTTTTACATGACCCAATCATTATTATTATTAAAGACATTATAAACATTCCTAACTGCACCTACATAACATCTGCATTAATCTTGTAGTTTCATGGTGTCATGGTGTCAAATGGTGTCATTTGTTTCCCTGTAGTACAACCTATAGTAGGATAAATGTTCAAATTCCTGTGTCAGCAGTTTATTTTTGTGTACAAACATATGGCATAGCACTGCTCAGGTTAACCACTTTCCCTCCAGAGGATTTGTCCCCCTTCCTGACCAGGCCATTTTTTGTGATACAGTGTTGTTACTTTAACTGAGAATTGCACGGTCATGCAACGCTTCACCCAAATGAAATATATGTCACTCTCCGCTCCTCACAAGACCTCCTTCTCTCTAGTTCCCTGGTCTCCTCCTCCCATGCCCGCCTCCAGAACTTCTCCAGGGCTTCACCCATCCTCTGGAACTCCCTACCCCCAATCCATCAGACTATCACCTACTCTCCTCTCCTTTAGGCGCACCCTGAAAACCCACCTCTTCAGGGAAGCCTACCCTGCCCTCTGCTAATTGCCGATCTCCTCCACTCTTCCTACCACTCCATCCTCCACAGCTTTTCCTCCTGTATCATTATCCCCTCCCTCCTAGACTGTAATCTCCAAGGAGCAGGGCCCTTGAACCCCTCATGTATCGCACTGTATTGTTATTGTACTGTCTCATGTACTGTCTCCCATTATAATGTACAGCACTCAGCAAACTGTTGGCGCTATATAAATCCTGTATAATAATATTAATGTCCTTTTTCCCCACAAATAGTGTTTTCTTTCGGTGGTATTTGATCACCACTGGGTTTTTTCTTTTTTGCGCTATAAACAAAAAAAAGACCAGCAATTTAGAAAAAAAAAAACTACATTTTCGACATTTTGCTATAGAACATACTTAGTAAAAAAAAATTTTAAAAATCAAATTTTGTCATAAATTTAGGCTAAAATGTATTCTGCTCCATGTCTTTGCTAAAAAAAAATTCCCTATACGTGTAAATTAATTAGTTTACATGAAAGATATAGCGTCTACAAATGGCAGTATAGATACTGGAATTTTAATTTTTTTTTATACTAGTAATGGTGGCGATCAGCGACTTACAGCGGGCATTCTGACACTGGGGGGGGGGGGGGGGGGGGGATTACTAACTGCCACTGACATCCCCAGTGACACCAATACAGTGATCAGTGCTAATAAAAAGCACTGACACTGTACTAATGGCACTGGGCAGGAAGGGGTTAATAGCTGGGGTGATCAAAGGGTTAACTGTGTGCTGTGTGTGTTTTACTAGGGAGACATGCTGTGCAGAGAAATACACAGCAGCATGTTACTGCTGACAGGAGAGAGACCTGTGTTGTTTACACACAGACCTCCCGCCTGTCAGTGTTACTTGGCGATCGCTGGGTGCCGGCGGGGAATCTCCGTCGGGGACCCGATGATTGATATCTGTAGCTGGCTGTGTGCGCGCCCCCCCCTACCCGGAAATGCAAATCACGCGTGTATATATATATATATATATATATATAGTATCTCCCAGAAGTGAGTGCGCCCCTCACATTTTTGTAAATATTTGATTCTCTCTTTTCATGTGACAACACTGAAGAAATGACACTTTGCCGCAATGTGACGTAGTCAGTGTACAGCTTGTATAACATGTAAATTTGCTGTCCCCTCAAAATAACTCAACACACAGCCATTAATGTCTAAACCGCTGGCAACAAAAGTGAGTCCACCCCTAAGTGACAATGTCCAAATTGGGCCCAAAGTGTCAATATTTTGTGTGGCCACCATTATTTTCCAGCACTGCCTTAACCCTCTTGGGCGTGTAGTTCACCAGAGCTTCACAGGTTGCCACTGGAGTCCTCTTCCACTCCTCCATGACGACTTCACAGAGCTGGTGGATGTTAGAGACCTTCCATTTGAGGATGCCTCACAGATGCTCAATAGGGTATAGGTCTGGAGACATGCAAATGAAATAATTGCCATTACAGACTGTTCTGCGGGTGCATTGTGTAGCAAGGAACGTGAACAAAATGGGTGGAACTCCGCTTTAATGAATGAAATTAATTCATGACAGTTTGCTTACATAATATAATGTGATTGCTATGATTGGTCACAGTGATCACATGATACCCTGGCCGCTCACAGCAACCAGGTACTGAGCACCGTAAGCGGTCATGGGATTGTGCTGCTGGGAGGCGCACTAGTGCACAAGTGCTGAGTGACGTACCCAGGGGCGGACTGACCATTTGGAAACTCGGGCACTGCCCGAGGGCCCGGGGTCAGAAGGGGGCTCCATGAGATGCCCCTGGTACCTTTTTCATAGGCTTTTTTGAGTTTGGGCAAGGACACAGGGGCCCCATGATCCCCTATTGCCGAGGGCCCCATGAGTTGTCAGTCCGCCCCTGGACGTACCCATACGTTGTTCAGCCTGTAGCTACCACGGCAGGAAAAGTACTCTGGGCGGGTGGCAAGCGGTTAAAGAGTTAGTTCACCTTTACCAAAAAACTGCCTATGCTGGTAGGGGACACCTGTAGATTAAAACAAACTGCGCATCTGTGACCAGGGTAAATAATGCCCTTGCTGTAGGTGTAGGCCATTTGTGTACCTCCACAAGCCTGGCCGAAAAACTCCCAGAGATGGCTTCATCCATTCTGCCTTGTTGCTAAGACATTGCCAAGACACTCCCAGCCAATTCAAGTCTCCTTGCATGCTCTCTCTCTCCCCTGTCACAGTAGCTCTGTGGTCAGCGATGTTGCAACAGAGAGCTAATGGCCACATGTGCGGGGGTTGGAGAGCTTGCTCCTGTGATGTAGGTTAGAAACAGCTGGGAATGTCTTAGCAATGTCCTAGCAACAAGGCAGGACAGGATGATACCATCTCTGGGAGTTTTTCGGTCAGGCTTCGAGAAGTATCTCAATGGCCTACACCTATACCAAGGCTTTATCCAACTTTAGTCTAAGCTGCACAGTTTGTTTTATATCTACAGGCGCCCCTTTACCTGCATAGGCCAGTTTATGGTAGAGGTGACCTAACCCGTTAAAAAAAGAATGAACATTGACCAAAGAGGCTCAACTAAAGTGCTAATGGAGCTCTAGGCAACATTCCTCACCAAATCCATCACATATTCCAGCTGGTTTTTCACTTTTCTAATCCTATTTTTCTAGAAGTTCAATGCTTTCAAAAAAACTTGTCAAAGCAAAATGGAATGTGATCCAATACCGTATATACTCGAGTATAAGCCGAGTTTTTCAGCACATTTTTTGTGCTGAAAAACGGCCCCCTCGGCTTATACTTGAGTCAACGTCTGCAGGGGGGGGGGCGCGAGGCTCCGTCAAGGGGGTGGGCAGAGGGCTGCTGTCTCTTACCTGGCTCCCACAATGATCCATCCAGGAAGCGCTGCTCCTTCCGTCACTCCGGCCACTCCCTCACTCCTGCCGCTCGGCTCCGCCTCCTCACTGGTGATTGGCCGCCAGAACTGTAGCTCAGGAAAGGTACACAGGCGGCCAATCACGGGCAAGGAGGCGGAGCCGAGCGGACCCGCGAAAATCGAGTGAGGGAAAAGCCGGTAAGTGTGCAATGCAGAGGTGCTGCTGCAACCACATATGCTGGCTGCAGCAGCACCATACTGCAACAGGGGTCAGCAAGTGTCATTTGTGTCAGTGGGAGGAATAGTGCCGCATCATTGGTGTCACTGATGGGGCACTATTCCTCCAACTGACACCAATGATGGGGCACTATTCCTCCCACTGATACTAATGATGGGGCATTATTCCTCCCACTGACACAATGATGGGGCACTATTCCTCCCACTGATACCAATGATGGGGCACTATTCCTCCCACTGATACCAATGATGGGGCACTATTCCTCCCACTGATACCAATGATGGGGCACTATTCCTCCCACTAATACCAATGATGGGGCACTATTCCTCCCACTAATACCAATGATGGGACACTATTCCTCCCACTGATACCAATGATGGGGCACTATTCCTCCCACTAATACCAATGATGGGGCACTATTCCTCCACTAATACCAATGATGGGGCACTATTCCTCCCACTAACACCAATGATGGGGCACTATCCCTCCCACTGACACCAATGATGGGGCACTATTCCTCCCACTGATACTAATGATGGGGGTTATACTCGAGTCAATAGTTTTTCCCAGTTTTTTGTGGTAAAATTAGGTACCTCGGCTTATATTCGGGTCGGCTTATACTCGAGTATATACGGTAATTAAATTCCTAGGAATAAATGTGCTGTGTAACAGTACCAGACTTCAGATTTGTCTTTACTGAGAAAAGTCAACCTCATAGTAATTACTTCTTAAGACTAATGTGGGTGTTTTTATAATGTGGGTGGTTTTTATAATGTGGGTGTTTTTTATAATGTGGGTGTTTTTTATAATGTGGGTGGTTTTATAATGTGGGTGGTTTTTTATAATGTGGGTGGTTTTTATAATATGGGTGGTTTTTATAATATGGGTGGTTTTTATAATGTGGGTGGTTTTTATAATATGGGTGGTTTTTTATAATGGGTGGTTTTTATAATATGGGTGGTTTTTATAATGTGGGTGGTTTTGTTAATACGATGTAATAGCAAACAGATATGACTGTTATTACACTTTTTATTCATTAATATTAAATATGTATTATTGGAGTATCAGCATAATTCAATTTAGTAGTGAAGAGGAAGCTGCTTGATTGCTCTTGCTTGCAGTGGACCTTTTTTAACTAGTTAAATTCTCAATAAGCAAAACCGACTACGATTATGTACTTTTTCAATGTTAACATTACAAAACATTTTCACATGAAAAAAAATGGTAAAAGGCTGGCAAGTTAGGTAATATCTATAAAGAGTTATTTTTTTTAATCACAAAATCTGAACTTTTTTCTTTGGTTGTCACTTTTTTTTTTTGTTTACAAACGGTTTTATTATATGAAAGTAGACTGTAAAACAACAGTTCATTTACAAATGATACAGTAGAAACAAGGCACTTCTGAAAAGCACAATACAGAAAAATATATTAACGCAAGAAAGAGAAGAAACAGAAAGAGTAGGTTGCAAGTACATGAGATACAAAGATGATAAGGTGGATTGAATGATACATCTGTCAACAGTATATGCCAGTCAATTTTCAGTAGGGAT